TGCTGATAAAGCCGACGTCACCTGTGCGTGCGTTTCTCATTCAGGACTCAGCCTCGTGGCAGGCGATGACTTCGGCATGGTTAAGTTATTCGACTTCCCATGCCCTGAAAAATTCGTAAGTCTCTCTTTGCTTTAGTATTTTCTATTATTTGATTCCTGAGACAGCTGGGCACATGAACATTGTTGCCCCATCAGTGAGAACTGGTAGCTAAAATGCGGTGTTTTTTCCTGATTTGAAAGTACTTTAAAATTTGTCCTATACTCAATTCAATTGCTTACAAACTTCCTAAATCCATTTTCCCGAATTAAAAAGCTATTTGAAATATTCCCTCTCCCTTTCCCCAGTAATGCTACCACTTTTAAAAACTATCCCAATAAGACGACGATTAGTCCAATTTTGCTAAACCTTTAACCAGCGCGGCCACCTCCAAGCCCGTTCCCAAGCCCTTGGAGACTTCCAACTGCCAGATCCGTCCGTGCGCAGTGCAGATCCAGAACCAGAGCCGGGAGAGCATTATTAGCATCAGGCCCAACTCAAATCCCTCCTCTCTTTGGAGCCTTTGTGGTTCATGGACTGACAGTTCACCATTTTGTTCCTGGAATAGCCCATTCTCCTCAGGTATCTCCCCAAATTTGTGGTCATGATCTGTTCTGGTATACTCTTAATAATGGTAGAAATGTAAATCAAGTTTTACTTTACTACTCTATAAAAGGAACCTAAGGGAGCTCTGGTAGCGTAGTGGTTACCAATCGAGCTGTGAACCTTAAAGTCAGCAGTTTGAAACTACCAGCCGCTCCACGGGAGAAAGATGAGGCATTCTGCTCCCGTAAAAATTTACAGCCTCAGAAACCCTGTACAGGGTCGGACTCGACAGCACTTAACAACAATAAAAGGAACCTGTGAGCTTTTAGTGCATCACATGCCCTGAGCTTCATTTTTCTTTTTCAGGCAAAACACAAAAGGTTCTTTGGACATTCGCCCCACGTGACTAACATTCGGTTCACCGGTGGAGACGGACATGTCGTCAGTGCTGGAGGTGACGATTGCAGGTTAGTTACTGAAGAACAGACTGTTGTGTCTGGTTAAGATGCCCTAGAACTCCCTTGACTTCAGTTTGAGTTCAGCTTAGCATCCTGATCAGAGCTGGCATAACCAGATGGGTCCTCAGAGTCCATCAGAATTACTGGGTGAAGAAAACAACTGACGTATGATTTGAGCTCAAATGAAAACAAATGTTAAACTGTTCTAAAAAATCTAGAACTATAATGAACTCACTGCAGTTTCTTTCTCTGACTGCAGTTTGTTTGTCTGGAAATGTGTGCATACGCCTCACTGAAAGATGTGGATGCCAAGAAGATGCTACATAAGTTAACAAAGAGGAAAACACAAACTCTGCATGGTCAAGTGGTGCTAACCCCAGATTGTAATGGGAAAAGCCCCAGGAGTACACTGGGAGACAGAAGTTCCACGTGTCGCATTGGGTAACTGTCCACAATCCACATACTGTCAGATAGATACATAAATCTCAAGAAAGGATTGAATGCATACTTGTTGTCAACAGCCAAGGTCCCCCTCTTTTGGGCAGACTGCAAACCAACCAACCAAAAGCTTAAAAACCCAAGCTGGCTAATTTTTTTATTTTCAGCATTCATATTTTGTCTTCAAGATTCATTGTTTAACTATTTTATCTTAGCATTTCTACATGGAAACACCACCCTAAAAAGATCAGTTTTTAAATGGCAAATTACTTTCCCTAAGGAAGTACACATAAGCTTTTTACTATGTAGATTACAGTGCTCCTAAGCATTAATAAAGCCCTTTTTATAAAGGATCTTTTGTTCCTCCTGGTAGTTTTGAATTCAGAAGTAAATCTAAAGTTCATAGTGTACGATGATTCTAATTTCACTGCTTACCTACTGTCCATGTATTATGCTGAAAGGCCGTCTCTGAATAGAGCAGGTAGGATGTGCAGGTGAAGTGTATGCCGTGTACACTGTTAAAGGTTTTAGGCAGTAATAGTTAAGTGGAAAAGAATGGAATGTATTTAAAGCTATATTCTAATATAAGCATTTGCATAACGTCTAAATGAAAGGATTATATTCGTATTTGTACTACAATAACTCTTGGAATAAAATTTTTATAAGCTTTTTTTTTTTTTTTCTATTGGAAAAATTTGTCCAGTTTAGATGTATGCATCCTATAAAAACCCATCTAAAATGAACACAAGTCCATTTGTGAAACTTGTCATTAAAATTATGTTTGGTATAAGGAGCTCTGGTAGCATAGTGGTTACGAATCGAGCTGTGAACCGCAAGGTCAGCAGTTCGAAACTACTAGCTGCTCCGCGGGAGAAAGATGAGGCGTTCTGCTCCCGTAAAGATTAACAGCCTCGGAAACCCTGTGCAGGGTCGCTATGAGTCGGAACCGACTCCATGGCACATCACAACAACAACAACAACAATATTGAGGCTGAGCTCTTAGATTCCCTACTGTTCACCTCAAATACTGCCAAAGATCATTATTAAACCATTCAGGAATTTGCTGTAAGCCTATCCGTAGTTTCCTGCAGATGGGAGATTTTGTAGACTGCTATTAGAAATCTGTTTTAATCTATTTTTCCTAAGTGTGAAGTTTAAGATGCCCTCTCTTAGTTCCATGTCATTTATCTTTGTAGCGTTACAGACCTCTGCCCTTCAGGTTTCTGGAAGTCCAAGTTTGGTTTGACAAGACACGATTCCAAATACCGAATCTCTATATTCAATACCTGTCGATATTAGAAACAGAAGCAAGCAACTGAGTTCTATCGCTGAAAGCCAAACTTTCTGACTCAGTGGGTCTGAGGTATTACTAATCTTTCCTTATTTTCAGAAATTATTCTCTCTTAGAGTATATGAATATTAATTTCCACCCAGTCAATAAATTAAAGGGGGAAAGTTCCCCAGACAATATTCTGTAAGAAAAACAACAAAAACCATCTTTTGAGGTTGTTGCAGTTTTAAATTTTCCAATATTTAGCTAAAGAGAACATTACTCTGTAGGTAGAAAAGTATAATTATTTTACAGAACGAGATGTTTCTGCTACATTTTTGTTTTTCAGAGAGCCCTACCTGGTAAACCACCTTTACCCACTGTCATAGCTTGATGACAGAGTGGCAGCATCATTGGGCTCAATGATGAGGTTGGCCCAGGACCGGGCAGTGTTTCGTTCTATTGTGCTTAGGGTTTCTGTAAGTCGGCACCGAACAACAACAACATAGTTTGATGACTAGCAATCACCTATGCCCCCCCTCCCCCCATCCACCAAGGGAAACTTTAAAAACGCTAGGTCACTACGTTCTACCCTGCCGAGAATTCTTTCTGCGCGCCATCCCATCCCTGGTTAAGCCCCTGGGGCTGGTCCCTGAGTCCCCCTGTTGTCTGTAGATACAAGGCATGCCAAAGCCGCTGTGCTCCTGGGCACAAGGTGCTCACTGCCAGCCACACGTGTTCCCTCCCCCGCCTTTGTGACCCTTTCCTATGGTGGTTCATTTTAGGCCAAATTACCCAACACAACCTTAGCCTGTCCATAAACTGTAACACTAACCTGAGTAACGTTACACTCTTAAATGGGATTTCTGGTGGTCTGTTAAATAGCACGTTATTTCTGTGACAAAACGGCTAAAATAAACCACCTAAGCCCTTCTCCCATTTATGTTTCTGTATAAAACTATAAAAGAATACAACTATATACCATGTATAAATAATAACAAAGGCTGTATTTTCAGAAATGTAAAACAAATGAATTCTGCAGAGACGTAAAATGTGTCATTTAGTAACGAACCGGAATGAACAATGCCTTATATTCAATGGAGTACTCTCTGGAATGAAATCGGATCGTCATTTCTAGCTTAATGCTACATGTACTTCATCATTCCCATGGTTTCAAGTCTGAGGTCAGCAAGGCAAAGTGCAATTTACAAGATGATTCAGTAACCGATTCATCCTTTCTCCTCCCACTGGAAAAGCCACAGCCACGGCACCGCTGGCTGCTGCCTTTACGCTCTCAAACACGGAGCTTCCTTGTACACATGCAGTTTTAGTATGTGTTCCTTGAGTACAGGACTAAACAAGTCAAAGTTGGTTTTTTTGAACCGCTAATTTAATTTGGTCCTGTGAATGCCAATGTTTGCATTAATTCTTTTCTAAAACCTTGTAGCTTTCATTTTTAAAAAAGAAACTATATATCACATATTTAGAACCAGTGATCCGTTTGTTATTTAATTCTAATACATTTGACACTTTTTGCCTTAACAATTTTAAAAACCATATACACAAAGCTCTGTATATTAATTCAATGTTCAAAAGTTTCGTCCTATTTTGAGGTTTACCCATCCAATCTCTATAATATAGTTCTGTCATTTAAAATATACTATTTAAATCTAATTTTTACATTTAAAAAAATTATCTTTCATAGTAACTATATTTTCTGTGAAGTTATTTCTAAGAATGTTATTTTTCAGAATGTGAGACTCTGTATGGCTGCATTATGAGTCTAAAATCCGTTTTCTGATATTTTGTGTATATACTTGTAAAAAATTTTGTATAATTTTATGATAATGTAGCTCCTCACAATATTTATTTATTTTAAAGAACGTATGTTAACAGTAAACAAAAGCACTTGAAGGAACCTTTCCCATCTGTTACGCTCACCATTCCGTCTGCCCCCTCTCTGGTCCTTTCACCAAAGGATCACACAACCTGAGACACAGGTTTGCTTTTCAAAGTCAACCCACATTAAAAACAAAAACAAACAACTGACTGACTCTTTTAAGCCACCTCAACACTTTAGGCCACACTTATGCTTGCACGGGGTTTTACAAAGATCACATTATAAATGCTGATACTTAAAAAGCAGCGTACAGACACTCCTCAAATGACGTTTGCGTTCCTTAAAATGAACAACAAAAAACCCAATGTTAAAACCACTGAACTTACAAACTTGAAAAATTAGACACTTCAGGATAGGCAATAAACTTCGTATTATGAAAGCAATATATTCCAAGTTTCAAGAACGGACAAGTTCTGGAGCACGTCTTTCATCAGTAGATGGCAACTCTCAGAATCCATCCTCTTCAGCAGGGGCAGGACTAGGCATCATTCGCTGGATAAACAGAAGCAAAAATACTTCACTGCTTTGCATGCACGTGGCCCATACACATCTCAGCCAAGAAGCTGAATATTTTCAGACAGTGAGCATTGATCTATAAGCTACATGTAAACGTAAGATTTTCAAGCTAATTTAATTAAATATGGTAATATATAACGTGATAATTAAACTCATGCTATTAAGTGTCATCAAGTCAGTTCCAGCTCATAATGACCCTGTATAGAGTTTCCAAAGAGCAGCTGGTGAGTCTGAACTGCCGACCTTAAGGTTAGCAGTCCAGTGATTACCCTACAGGACCACACTCGGACTCCACTAAGAGGCTGAAACTAAAATATTTTTTGTAATTTTAAGTATTTTTAATTGCTAATACCTAAGAAAATAGTGCTATTATAAGCTGTAGAAAATCCCTAAAGATTTCGTAACTGATCTGGAATAAAAGAATCTGATTGAGAAATGATCTAAATTCAATCAATCACCAGATTAAAGAAAAACTTGGTCACTGCAATCAATTATTTTGCAAAGAACAGCTGTATAATTAAAACAGTTTTACTGACATTTGTTAAACGAAGTGAATTTGAGGAACCATTCACTTACTAGAAAATTATTTGAAAAGCCATTAGAAAAACCGATTTAAAACTCTACCTGGTTTGAGGTCGAATCCATTTCAAGGCGTGTCGTGGTGGTACAGTAATGGTGGGGTGGTAAAACGCACAGTCAGGTCTTGTACACTGAGTATTAAACCTACAGTGCTGGAGACACAGCATTGTTTCAACATCATCTGCCATGCAGCGCTCTGGGATGAGAGTTACCAGCCCAAGGGATATAAGACTGCAAAGACCCTGATAAAACAACCCCCAGGACACACAACCCAAGTCAAAGAATCACAGCAAGTGACCTTCAGAAAGGACCAACTGCTAACCCATGCATGCCCTGCTCGGGAGCTTGCCACTCACCAGACTTTGCCCACGTCCACTGGGTCATCTGACTGCCTAGCCCCAGAGGAGATGCTGCCCTGTGAGCACATGGACACCGACGTAACCAACACCATGGGTGCAAGCTTGGGCAGCACCGAGCGGCACAGCCGGATTTTATCACCTCAGTGACCAGAAGGGTGACTTACACAGATGAACCTCCTTTCCTCAGAGCTGAGGGACACGCGGCCTACGAGGCCAGACTGGGGCTCAGTGACAACTAAAAATAACTTAAAGGTCTGAGAGGCTGTTACCTCCACTCCCCATCAGTCAGTTACATTGGAAAAATGCAAGCTGTGAAATTGACCAGTGATCTTCCACTCAAAATTGACAAGTGATCACTAAATTGACCTTTGGGAAAATAAAAGTTCTTACTTTAGGATGATAGAAGGGACATTCCATTTTCTTACAAGCAGGGAAATAACGGCACAGCTGAGTACTGGACGGTGATGTTGGTGCTGTCACTGCTGACAAAACAAGGATGCTTTTAGAAGGCTGGGAGCCATTGAAAAAGCCAAGAGCAAGGGATGGAGTTTAGTCAGGATCTAAGACATTGAAGATCACAGGACACACACATTTCCTCTTTAAAAGACCAGTTAAACCAGCCCATTGTCAAAATGATTGCTAACACCACTCTCGCTTTTTTAATTTGGTTTACACTCACAAAGTGTTGCCCATTTTTCCTCTAATGCATGAAGTCACCCACCTGGTTTGGGAGGCAGTACTGGGAGTCGTCTACTCATGTGCATAAAGGGGCAATCTGGCTTAGTACACTTGGTGTCGTATTTACAGTTCGGATGGACGAACAAGCATTTCTCAGCAAACTTGCAATTGGGAAAGGCTCTGTAAAATAAACGAGTCTGAGTCACACTAAGAAGTTCCACATACACCATCACCACTAGTTATTCTGAAAAACATCGAAGTAACAGAAAGGACAGTCCATCTTCAAATGAAGCAAAATATCAAATAGGACACAACTGCCTATTCCAGAGTCAAGGACAACACGTAAAACTTTTCAACTCAACCCAACCCTCCATGGAAAGCAAAAGTTTTTTTCTTTATTCGAGCATCTAAAATCACATTACTAACTTTCTTTACTTATTTAAAGTCTTATCTAAAGTCTGAGTAATATGAGTCAAATTCAATACATACAGTGACCACATCTTACGTGCAAGGCCCCATGCTGCAATCAGATAGATTCGCCCCACGCTTTCTTGTATGTGCTTCTGTATTACTCCCAAAAGGAGAGATTCCACCCATGTTGTTGTTGCCAGGTGACACTGAGTCGATTTGTCTCATAGGAACCCTATGAGACCTACACACAGCTGAAGGAAACACTGTCCGGTCCCGTACTACCTTCAACAATCGTCCTTACGCTTGAGCCCACTTGTCTGTCTGTCTGACAGAGAGTGGTCCTGGGGTGGCCTGCGTGCTGTGAAGCCATGCCACTGTTATTCAAATACCAGCAGGGTCACCCACAGTGGGCAGGCGCCAACTGAGCTTCCACACTAAGTCCAGGAGGGCTACTTCTGAATGTTTAGCCATTGAAACCCTTGTGAAGGGCAGTGAAACACGGTCAGCACCTGAATTCTACCAACAGGACACTAAAAAAAACTCCGCACGCTGAACTGCCAGCTGGTAAGAAAAACAAAGTCCAGAATGTTTTATTACTGTTTAACTAAAATTTTCCCAGCTCTTCAAAATCTGTATGAACACTATCCATCCATACCAACCCCACACTTGCCAGGTACCACCCTTAAATGTACAGAAGCCTCAAAGGACCAGAAATACCACTAGCTCACCAGTTCCTGGCCCAGGAAGCTGCCTCCCACCCACCCGCTCCCCGGTAGTCCAACCACCACACGTCCACAGATGGCTGGGATTCTGGGCAGGTGCCCCCGCCTCCAGTCACACACCACCAGGCTCTAGAGCAGTCTCCTAACACCTGGCCAGAGAACAGAAAACAAGCTTCAAAATAAGAGACACTACCCAAGTACCTGAATTGGTGGGTTACTCACTTGCAAGGTGAGACGGGGTGGTGGTAAGCACACTCCTCCCCGTTTTTACAGGCAGGCCAGTACTTGCAGCGTTCCAGGAGCTTCTCGGGCTTCTGGGCCACACTCAGCTCACTCATGTCAGCTACAAAGGGAAAAGAATGAAGAAACCTCATTAGTGATGAGCAATTCGCTACGTGGCCCCTTTAATAAAGTCCCCTAGCACTGGACTGAGAGGCACAAAGTAGGGGGTCGGAGCCCACCAGCCACTCCCACAAGATTTACAGCCTCGGAAACCCTATACAGGGTCAGTATGAGTCAGAACTGACTCCACAACACTTAACAATCCCAGTCTTAAAATCCTATTTTATGTTTGAAGTTACACCAAAGAAACTTCACCCATATAATCTGATAAACACTAATAACAGAATCCTGTTATTAGTAATAAGATTATCTGGTACTAAAACTGCCATTCTCACTGTGACAACTAAACTGGATGGTGATACTGTTACGAGCCCGAAGCAAACAGAATTCCATGGAAACTGAAAACACAGAGCTGGTGGGAGTGGGAGGTTGTGTGCCGTGGAGTCGGTTCCGACTCATAGTGACCCTGTACAGGGTTTCCAAGGCTGTAAATCTTTACAGGAGCAGAAAGCCTCCTCTTTCTCCCACAGAGACCTTGCAGTTAGCAGCCTGGCTCGTCATCGCCTATGCCACCAGGGCTCCTTTAGGAGCTGGTTAAGGAATGTGAACCAACAGCACCATTCAGGCACGATGACGAGGTGGTCCGAATCCAGGGCCCCACTCACAGCAGTATCTGACAGGGAGGAAGTGATTGCTGCTTAACATGGCTCACAAACCCCATTCTCTCAGGGCCCAGGAAGGAGCTCTGCTAGCGCAGTGGGTCCTGAGTTGGGCTGCTAACCGCACGCACGGTCAACAGTTTGAATCTCCCTCATTGGGAGAAAGATGAGGAGCAGTTAAGATTTACAGCCTCGCTGACTTCAGGAGGCTCCAAACCTGATTTTTAAGTGACATTTAAATGTAAATGCTGACGATTAAAGTTTAAAATGCTGACTAAAACATGAAATTACACCTATAGGCTAATTAGCTGCCAACTTCTGGCCCAAGCCACTCTGGCCAAGCAAACAAGGCATAGGTGTTAGGATGCCTAAGATGCATGTTTATGAACAATTTCACTCCAAACCCATTCCTCTCTTCATTTACCTGTGGCCAGGCGCTGACACCTGGCTCAGAAACTTAGTGAGACATCGCGCGGGCCCTGGTTAGCAGGCAGAAGTAAACTTCCACTTCTCTCCCTTAAAATTTGCTACTTACATAGAAAAAATGACTAACTGGCAGCCAGCTGTAACCTATCAGCAGCTAAGAGGGTTCACGCTGCTGTCCTGAGGACACTGACGGCCTGTCATCAAACAACTGCTCCGAGTGGTGTTGCTGCTAAGTGCCATGGAGTCACTTCCAACTCACAGGGACGCTGTATAGGGTTTCCGAGGAGCAGCTGGTGGGCTGGAACTCCCGACCTTGTAGTTCACAGTTCAGTGCTGACCCTGCAGTACCACACCAGGAGCCCACCGCTGATTATGCCCAGTACATACACTTCCATGCCACTTTAAAAGTACTTAGGGAAGTTATCTAGCTCTAAGATAGTAAAAGTATTTCATTCCAAAGAGCATCTGATCAGGCTGAAGGGAGGCATGTCCCCACGTTTCATAGTTTTTGTGTTGTCCCTGCTCTGAGTGTTGAGGGGGCTGTGGTGCAGACTGACAGGGCAGCTAAGCTGCAAAGTGCGTGAAGAAGCGGAACACTCCACAAGGGACCGCAGGCCGTGGTGACCACATGCTTACTTCATAAGCTATTGACACCGCTCCTGCTTCAGGGTCAAGAAGCAAATTCACTTATACCATTAAAAGCTAAAAATCTGTGCTGCCAGACAACAGCGGCCAAGCATAGCAACCTCACAGGGACACGGCTGCTGTTGAGAGCAAGCACCCTCGGAAACAGCTAGCAGGCAGCTACCAAAAGTGGGTACAGGGGTTCACACATTCAACTTGCAGAGGAGGCGAAGTCTCGTCCTGGAGCAGCAGGGTGCCCACTGGTCTGCAGCGGACCAAAGACCTGGTACCACCCGCAGAAACCTGCCCCGAGGCAAAATTAGACCACTACACACCAAAAACACCCTACACCAAATGGAAATGCAAGAATACTGACTGAGAGCAACGGAATTTTCTTTTAGAAAAAAAAAAAAAGTCATCAGGAAATCCCATCTGCCTGACTCTACAGTCCTCGCCCCTCAGGGGCTGTATCCCCCAGTGACAAGCCCTTGCTCCTCACATCAAAGGGGTCGCTTCTCAGTGTGACTGACTCCCCTGTTCTTCACAAACCCCACCCCCTACAGTACTAAAACTCTGCAGCCAAGGTTTTAGTTAACGATCTCTTCCTAATGACGACTAGATTTCTCATGATTAAAAAAGGTACTCAATGTACTTTTAGAACTAAGCCACGGAAAGGATTCCTCAGAAAATGTTTCACAATTCACAATGGTCTCTCCTGTCACTGCTCATACTTCCTCTTGTTGTTACTGTTGTCAGTGCCCCCATGTAGAGGCTTTCCCAGGAGGAGCGGGAGGGCTGACCCTCCAGCAGCTGACCTGGACTCCCTGTTCACAATGAAGACTCATGACTGCCCCCCTCCCCAGGGCATGTTACCCTAGTTACTGGTACTCATTCTCGGTCACAGATAAAAAGAACGGCAATGGGATGTCCAGTCAAAGCGGTGACGGGCGCCCCCATCACCCGCCTAGAAGCCCACTGCCACCGGGACTGAGCTGCCCAGCCTCGAGCTGACCACTACCATTCAATACAGGAGGGTCAACAAAGTTTGAGGATGCCGTTATCTTTTCATTCCATGTTTCCATGAGTGTTCTGAAGCCTCCTCGGGTAACAGTAAGTCTTCTCTACATCTCGGACAAGTATCCTGACAAATCAGACAAGGCACTCCCCTTCAAGAAAATTTAACTGAGGTAGAAACAGTATCAAAAGCCAAATTAATTATTCTCTTCGTTGCTGTTGTTAAGTGCCATGGAGTCGGTTCCGACTCACAGCAACCCTGCAGATAGTTTCTGAAGAGCGGCTGGTGGGTTTGAACCACCATCCTTATGGTTCAAACCGACCCTGTGGCCAAGCGCTTATCACACAGTGCCACACCAGGACTCCTGCGTTGTTCTCTTAAGGTTAAATGACTTACAGGAGTAAACAATCTCATTTCTATCAAGAAAGGGAGGAAGGCAAACAAGGCATCAGACATGAGTATCCATCCCTCACCAAGCACAGTTCCTCCAAAAGGCCCCTGGCCGAACACCGCATCAGCCCTGGAGCCACGGCCTCAACGTGAACGGAAGGAACAGAACCCTATCACTGGGAAGACGTCAAATGCCAAGTTTCCACCCAATGCTGATGCAAGGCAGAGAAACACGTCCAAGGTCCCCTCGCAATGACAGCCCCTGCTGTCTGTGGAGCACCTGCGCTCTCAACACACCGTGTGAAAAGCTACCATTTGGGTCCTCAAGCTGCCTGCTCGTCAACTGCAAGTGCTGTGGATGCAGGAGCCCTCGGAGCCCCTGGGGTGAGGCTGCCGTGTGGTTTACTGGTCTCATTCCTTCAAGGCACATGTCTTCCTCTTGCTCTGACATATATCCTGGGGGACTGGGGACACCATCCAGCGTCACTATAAACTTGGGACTTGCAGGTTTATCTGGTTGTACAAGATCTCTGCCAGACAGATAGAAAAGACCAGAGAATTAGGGAAACGAACACAAAAAAGCTGTGCCTCTCCAGTGCACACTCCTCAGCAGCACGCTCCCGCCCTGCCTTGCTCCCCACTTGTCGGCTCAAAGACAGACTCGGTAGGTAGGCCTTCTGGAGATGCATTAAGGGCTGCGGCTAACAGGCTAACACGGTGGTCATGGAGTCCACCCACGACCCTCCAGCCTGCACTTACTGAGCATGGCCTCCCCTCAACTTGGCCCCTGAGCCCATTTGACCCTCGAGTCATAGGGTAATAAGCTGAAAGAACTAGCATCCACACTTAGAACGCAGTGGTTCTATGGCTACACTCATTTTATTGTGTGTATGCTGTTCCTTTATGGAATCTATAGTCCATCTTCCAACAGGAGAAATCACCCCCACCCCCACCTGTTAACGCTCCTTACAGAACTGTCCTGATTATTAGTTAATTAGTTACCTGGCTTTTCAAATTTCGTTTCTGGTTGTGTATAAAGAAAAGAGCTGAACGGATACATTGAGCTTTTATTTACAGGTTTATCCATTTCTGAACAAGAAGAGCTGCACTTTTTGAAAGTGGACTCTGGCTACCCCTCCATGGCCTAGCTGTTGCATCAATGTCAGCTCTCGACAGGAGGGTTCTGGGGCAGGAAGGGGGAGCCAGGAACTACGGGTCACCCTGCACCAGCTGATCAACATAAATGAACTACACAAGAAAAAGAAGCCATCTACCGTGGAGTCTGCAAAAGGTGTCCTGAAAGAGCCCGGAGGGCGTCTGCAGTCTTCATCCCCGACTCGTGGCTGGGTGCCACAACTATCTCCTCAGACAGCTTGGGCTTCTTCAGAATAAATGATCTTGTGTCTGCATGGACCATGGACTCCATGTCATAGTAATCTGAGCCAAAAAAATTGGCCACAAATGTTTACTTTTTAATATACCTCGCACCCCCAACATCACACACGTGAGAAGAACGTCAGTCTATCATATATTCGTGATTACTTTCAAAGGACAATCATACTGTGTTCTGCTCAGAGACAGGCTGTGGTTCTGTGCCACACACCTCTCCGGAGAACTCCAGTTCAGACCAAGGGATTCCGATCAACACTGCAGTCAAGAGCGTAGGTGGGCCGCCTAGCGGGATAACAACAGCAACATCGGACATCTGGTGTGGTGCGGCAGGATCAGCACTGGACCGCGAACCGCAAAGTCAGCAGCTCACCAGCCGCTCCTTGGAAACCTTAATACAGGGTCTCTAGGAGTTGGAACCAAGTCCATTCCCTGGCACTTAACAATTTAAGTGTGTTTAGTACAAGAAGCTTTTCTGCACACATGGACCTAAAATTTTTAAGTCCTACGTCTAAGAAATGCAGTTCTGATACACAGAGTAAGCACTCTCCCTAAAATCAGTTTTGATCATTTTGCACAGAACCTCTTACCAACAAGAATACATCTTAATGAAATAAGGAATTAGTACAACTCCATACCTGTCTGGAATTTTAAAATGGGTATTCCAAAAGATATAGCAAGGAAAATTGACCAGCAAATAACCATCAGCTGACATTATCGACAATATACCAAAATATGCCAACAAGACCTACTGCCTAGGGAAGACACAGGCAGCCTGTCAATAGATGCCATCAACTGACCAAAAGGTAACAAAGTGCACCTCTCTTACACAGGGGCCAAAATACACAGACTATTCATTTGTGTCAATTCACTGGACATATTTACTGGGTCCCTAATACCTCTGTGCTACGTACATACAGCAGAAACTAATAGAAAAATAGACGTAGACGTCATTTCAGAACAGCATGACCAGTGGTGGCCAAAAAAGGGCCTGACCAAGGTGTTGGAAGAATATAATGCCAGCTGCCTAATTCTGCCAGGTTAAGAGAATGTTTGCTACAGATGGAACATTAAGGATAAGCTTACTATGGATGGACCAGATGAACAAGCATGCCGGGAATGTGCAGGAATAAACTAGAGATGAGGGAGTTGGAGAACCACCTGAGCTTCCCTGGCAGAGCACACGGGAGCAGGAGCAGCCAGAGGAAGGTCGGTGGCTGGCAGCGCGAGTGCAGTGGGTGTTGGGGACTGAGCAAGTGAGTGGTGAGGAAGGCTGAGACGTGTAACGGAGAGCGTGTGTGCTCTCTTAAGTTGGGATTTGGGTCTAGAAGGCAATAAGGAATCAAGAAAATTTCCAAGTAGGAAGTGACATGATTTAAGTAGCCTTAGGAAAACAAGTTTTAAGAGGCTGCTGCCCAGGAAAATGAAAACTGTTCACAAGCTGACAGAGGAGAAGACACACTCCACACTCCCCACCAGCACCTGGAGCTCACAGCAGTTGGAAGATTTCCACCATCCCAGGAACGGGCCAGTAGAGGGGTGTAGACCCAGAAGGGCCAGGTCACAGATGACTCCATTCATGGACACAGACAAATAAGGAGAAAGGACCGCTTTCAAAGGGTTAATGGTTTACATTTGTGATGCTCTCAGGCAGATAACTGCCAGCCAGGGTGGAGCCAAGATCTGGTCCAAGGGCTACTTTTAAGGAGAACTCCTTTTGCTTGTTTGCATCTCAGAGGCTGTGGAGGGGATGAAAGCCACGCTGAGAGCAGGGAAGAAGGCACAGCTGACAGTTTACAGGAAGAATGACAGGGAACGTCAGGAGCTTAAGAAGAAGGTTCGTCTTGGAAGCCAAACCTCAGAACACAGAAGACATCTCAGGAATATAAGTGCCACCTGCTACAGCACTGAGGAGGGGGATACTGCATGGGAGTCTTCACTGGTCACAGCAGCAGCCCACCTGTCAAGTGGAGGCCACACAGCCGGGAGAGCTCAGAGCTTCTGGGGAAAGGCTGTGGCACATGCCGCGCATTTGGTTTTGCTCCCTTCAGACACCCCATGAAAAGGCCAATAAAGGGGCAAAATGGACAGGGAGAGCTAAGCCCACAAGGAAAACAATCACAAACTGGAACCAGAGAAATAAGCAGGAACACTAACTTAGTCAATCAGCAAAAGTTGACTCCTAAGTCAACAACAAAGTAATTAAGATTCAGAGGCGAAGACAAGGAAACGAGGGGGAGAGTGGAGCGCCTATGTAAGAAGCAGTTTGTGCTTCCTAAACCTAGTCAATCTGTTTTCTTGTCTTTGGTACTTCTCACACGGATTCCAGTAATTCTATGTTGGAGATATCTGGAGGTCAGAAATGGTTTTCTTGGGGGTCACAGGTGGAAAGGGCTATGCACGAAGCTTCACGGTCTGACGGAACAATGTTACAACAGAATCAATCAGAAGGCATACAGTTAAAACCCTGCTGAAATGGAGTAATACACCCCACTTGTAGATAGGAGTGCTTAACACGGTGAAATGTCAACACTACCCAAAGCAAGCTACAGATACAACGCAATCCCAATCCAGAACACCACTCTTTAAAAAGATGGAAAAACTAAGCATTAACTTTATATGGAAAAGAAAGAGACCCCAGATAAGGAAAGTGTTACTGAAAAAGAAGAATTTCCCGATCTCAAAACCAGAGTCTACACGACCACAGACAAAACATTCGGGTGCTGGTACAATGAAAGACATCTAGATCAATGGAACAGAACTGAGAACCCAGCAGTAAATCCATCTACCTACAATCAACTTATCTTCGACAAAGGGCCAACATGCATGAAATGGGGAAGAGATCGTCTCTTCAGCAAACTGTGTTGAAAAAACTGGAAACCCACTTAAGAGAAAAATTAAACAAGACCTGTATCTCACACTATATACAAAAATGAACTCAACGTGTATTTCAACACCTAACCATAAAGTCTCAAATTGTAAAGATCATCAACGGAAAAACAGGGACAAAATTAGGACCTCTGATTGAGATATGTCATAAACACACTATCAAACATAACAGAAGACACAAACATATAACAAATAAGATGCCTGGGACCTCCTAAAAATTGGGCACTTACATGCATCAAAGGATTTCTTCAAAAGAGTAAAAGAGAAAACACAGACTGGGAAGAAATGTTTGGCAATGACATATCAGACAAAGGACTACTCTCCAAAATGCATACAATACACTTCAATGCCTCAACAAGAAGAAAACAATCCAATTTAAAACTGGGCAGAGGGTATGAACAGACCTTTCACCAAAGACGACGTTCAGGGAGTCAACAAACCTATGCTCATGATCACCAGCCATTAGAGATGGAAATCAAAACAACAATGACATATCATTTTACTCCAGCATCAAAAAACACAGAAAATAACAAATACTGGTGAGTGTGTGGAGAGACAGGGGTCTCCCAACACTGCTGGTGGGACTGCAAAATGGCACTACTACTGAGAAAACGGTAAGGTGCTTTCTCAGGAAGTTGGAACTAGAAATACCGATGACCCAGCAATGGGTCTACTTTGTATCCATCCTCAAGAACCAAGAGCTGTGACAGGAATCAATATATGCACATGGCAACACTAGTCACAATGGGACAAAGATGGGGAGACAGTCTAAATGCCCACGGAGGGGGAGGGAAGAGTGGATAGACTGGCACACACACACACAATGGAGTATTTATGACACACTGGTGAAAAACAGTGAGGGTAAAAACACCTCACAACATGGATGAACCTGTAGGCGTTGTTGTTAAGTGCTGTTGAGTCAATTCTGACCCATAGCGACTCTGTTTAGAGTTTACGAGGAGCAGCTGGTAAGCTTGAACTGCCGACCTTAGAGTTCACAAGGCTTTGCAGCCTAGCGCATTAACCCACAGTGCCACACTTATGCTGAGTAAAATTAGTCAATCACAGAAAGAAAAATATTGCATGAGATCAGTGTTGTAAAAAGTTAAGAAAAGATTTTCTTGCTAAATTAAACATTCTAGGATAGTTAGGGCAGGGTTGGGAGGTGGGGGAAATGATTCACAGACTAGAGGGTAGACACATGTTGGCAGGGGTGATGGAGCCAGCAATACACAACAAGAAGGAGGGTAGCAGAAGAGAAATGCAAGAGTTAAGGTGAAGAGAGGTAAATTTTGTTGGCACATGGAGGGGCTTGCAATTATTGTAATGAGGCAAAGCGTATGATCTGTTGAATTTAAAACTGACAATCTGCTCTGTGAGCCTTCACTCAATTCACAATAAAAAGCTAAAAAAAAAAAAAAAAAAAAAAAACCTAAAAAAATTAGGAGTTTGAGTTCCTAGAAGAAAAGTGGAGTTTCAGAACCTTGCAAAAGTGAAAACAGGGGTACCAGCAATCGTGTCTGAAGGCAAAGATCTCACACAGAAGAGGGGATATGTCAACGGAACATTCCCTGAGCTGGTGCTGAGGTCCTGCCCCACCCCTCCACCCTGGCTGGCCCTTTCTCTGCTTGGTGCCCAGAGCTCCAGCAACCAAAGCACTGGCTCAACTGTGTTTCTTTGGAGACGCAGTCAACCTAAGAGCCAACGACACTGACATCAAAGGTCCCCCCTCAAACTAGAGCCAAGAACAATCACTCTCCACAGCAGGATCTACATTAAAATGTGAAGTCAAAAGCTCCTGTGAACCAACACACCACCAATCACTTTAGTGTCCACTCTTACATCTGAAGAAATGATACAGAATGAAAGACAGTGATCATTAACAAACGAACAACTTGGAAAAACAAGACCAAACAGGGAAGGGAAAAAAATACCAAAATTTGAAAGAAAAAATACAAAATTTCACTCATGAAACAAAAATCAGTATTCTTAAAGAACAAACAAATATGAAGACACCTAAGTGCTCTCGGAAATAAAAACATGACAGGAGCAAAGTAAAGGGCGACAGCCGTTCGCAGTCATAGAGCTACCTGAGGCGTCAAACTGTACGTGCACTCGGGGTACAAAGAAAAGCTAAAGGAAACAGAAAAGATATGGAGTGGCGAGAACAGACTAGCTGCTGAACTCTTTGAAAAAAATGCTCTAATGCCAAAAGCAAGGGGGAGTGCTGGAGATCAAAGGGCAACATCGAGGCTGGAGACTATGTCAGCACTTCCATCAGGTAGCAAGGGCAAGCAGAACAAAAGCTACAGGAATTGGGGCAACACCAGATGTCCTACAAATGGGCAGGCGATCCTCACAGAGAACAGAGATCAGGGAAATGAGCCACTAAACTACTGAGTGCTGACTGAGAGGGAAGACAGTTTAGGAAGGTGGCAAGAGAAAAGAGATTTCTGAATTTGTGGGTTTAGGCATCCAATGGCTCCCTTTAGTCATCAGGTATCATCAGGCACTGAACGAACAGCTGGAATGGACTGGCCACTGAGGAAACAGACAAATAAGGCACTAGACCCAGTCCTCAGGGCCCTGGTAGTGCAATGGGCTAACGCTGGACTGCTACCTCGGATGGATTAAGAGTTGGAGGTCGGCGACTGACACCCACCAGCTGCTCTGTGGGAGAAAGATGAGACAATCTTCTCCGTAAAGATTACGGCCTCAGAATCCCCATGGGTGAGTTTTACTCTGTTCTAGAAGAGTCCTGGTGTGGCACTCTAGGCTAAGTGCTGCACTGGTAACTGTAAGTTTGGCAGTTTAAACCTACCAGCCACTCTGGGGAACCCTATATAGCATCACTATGAGTCAGAACTAATTCACTGGCACAAAATCAGAACAGGGTGGCTGCGCGTTAGCATCGACTTAGCCGCAGTGGGTTGGTACGTTGGTTGGTTAGACCCAGTCCTGAAGGTGCACATGGTGTGTGTGTCTGTGTGTGTCTGTGGGGGGTGGAGGTGGGGACAGTGACAGGGACACTGAATTACAGTGGTGCCAGGAAGTACTAGGTGTGGCCCTGGTGAAGAGATTCTCAACTGAGTCAAAGTGAAGGTCAGGTCACCGTGATAAGGTCCAAAGGCCAGAGAGGATGCGGAAGCAGCTCAGGGCCACTAGAAGACTGGGGCAGAGAGAGGCAGAGGAGGTTAGGGACTCAGTCCTCCCTGACAGAGAGAGACAGAGGCCGTTAGGGACCCAGTAGAATGATGTCTGACTAAGATGGAAAACAGAAACGTCACGTGCCACAGAAAATGGCAGATCTTATCTCCTGACCCTCAAGGATTTTCACTGATTTAAACATAGTACCTCTGGGACAAATCTGACACACTAAATGAAGTGGAAACAGCAACTGAAAACTTCTAGACTATAATGAAAACTTCAGATGATTACTAACCTTGGCTGATTTGCAGAGTTTCTGCCATGACCGGGTCAATTTGCAGTCGGGAAAACAATTGCCTTTGTTGAGGTCCTAGAATATAAAGTTCGAAACTTCACTGTAAACTTAAAAACCAAACAATACCAGCATGTGTCTGGGTTTCCTAGAAAATAAGCCAATAATTATCTTTCTGGGTTCTTCACTCAAAGGCTGTAAAACAGCTTAGTTTCAGTGTTAACCCTCCAGAGGTGCTGGACTTCCCATAAGGCCAAGTGTCGTACAATGAACAAGTAAGTGTGGCGCCCAGAGCTCTACTATGCCGAGCCCACATCTGTTGGGATCACCTCCACGGAGAGATACTTCAGTTCTAGTACTCATTCTTCCTTACAGGGCTCAAGCCTAACAGCAGTTGTGAAGATAGTGCAAGACCAGGCATGGCTTCATTCTGTTGTGCAGTCACTGTGAGTCAAAACCAACTCAAAGGTTCGTAACACCAACAACAGGTTCAGAAGGAGCGCAGGTGTCAACCATAAAGAGGTCAGGCCTGACAGCCTCAGAGACCCTGAGGGCAGTTACACTCTGTCCTCTAGCGCCACCATGAGGCAGAATAGGCTTGACGCCAGTGGGTTTTGAGTCTGGCTCACCAGGTCCATCATTTCCTGACAGCCGCCCTGCAAAACCAAACAGAGTAACCTAGAAGTGATCTCCTCCAGTTTCACTAGGTTTCCAGGTAAATTCCTGAAAGGGTAGGAGGATGTCAACCTTCTCAGTAAACAGCAGAGCACTTAGCAGGTATTAGGCGCTCACCTGCTGATCTAAAACAAACGTGTTACACTACAGTGTATGAAGGGATGTGCCTGAGTGGGTGCAGAATAGTGAAATGGCATGCGACGATGCCTGCATGCAAACTTGTGGACCACCTGTTACCAGCAGTTTTCAAAGCACAGGCTTTGCTTACTCAGAGTGAACATGAAGAAGAGCAATCTCTTAATAAGGACCAAGTGCTATTCTTTACATTTTAGAATCTATGTTCAACTTGAAATTCTATTAGCTGCTATGGGTAGCACTGTAAGATAAGCACTAGACTGTTAACTGCAAGGCTGACAGTTCACACCCACCAGCTGCTCCTCGGAAACCCTACATAAGACAGCAAAGAGTTGGAACCAACTCGACTACACTTAACAATAATAATTTTCTTTTAAAGCATATGCTGTATTTTAATATGCTTCAGCAGGATGTCCAAAAAAAAAGTGAATTCCTCCTAGAATTATTGTAGCAAAAACAATCAATCCTGAGGATGAGACCTGAAGCACAGATATCATTTGCTCAATGTCTTTTCACACAGGACAGCCTGGGAAACAGACCTACACTACAGGTTACAGCTAGAAAGCTCTTCTGGTCCACACACTAGGTGTAGACACTACAACAGGTCTCCTTAACATTTAAAAAATTTTTTGCTCAGACTGTTACACATGAAAAAACCCTTCTCTCACATTTCAAGTTTTGCTTCATCTCTCTGCTCATCTATCCTTCCAAAACACCCACTAAAAAGAGACAGAGTTCCGATCAACTCTAGCTCCTAGGTTAAATCCTGTAGAGTTCAAATTTGTCTGCCACGAAGAATTCAAATTCTTCATGACTTGCTGCCCCTCTGAGCTACTAGCCAGGTTACAGTGGAAAAGGTGAGTACTCTATGCTAAAGACAGTTTACCTTTCTCAATGCTACTAAGGAAGCCAATTATTTGGACATCAGTAGTCCTGGACTGTGATTCAAAATCAAGTTCTTCTTGTAGATCTTCACACTGTTCGTTACATTCAGATGTGGAGGCTGAATATTCATTCATTTTAACCTCCAAAGATGAAATTTTTGCTTCAGTCTGTGATACTCTAACATTCAGATCAAAAAGATTTGCTTCCACCGTCAAAATTGCTGCCTTCATCCCTTTAATTTCATTGATATCAGTTGATATTTTCCTTAAAAGATGTGAAATATTGTCTAGCTCATTCAGTGAACAAGAAGAACTTGCTACAGACCCTAAGTCGATTGGCGCCGGTGAGAACAAAGTCGGTAAAGATGACGACTGGCACCTAGAAGCCATTTCCAGAAAGTTCTCTACCTCCTTCCCTCCACGATAATGCTCCCGTCATGGCCCAGCTAACTGCTTCATCACAAGTAGAACCCGTGATCCCTTAAAGCAATATTCAGAATAAATAACACTTAAATCTATAATTAAGACAGGATTGTCATCTGTGGAGTCAGAACTCAAAGTAAATTTGAAAATGCTAAACAAACCAGACCAATTTTCTCTTTGCTACAAGTAAGATGCCCTAATACGCAGCCCTCTTTATCTCCTGAGTCCTACGGAATAGCTCTCTCCAAACAATACTCAATTATGACATACAAAAAAATCCTGGCTCCTGATTGGCCAAAACCAGACACCTGACACACAAAGAATGTATTATTATTATATACCTCGTGGGACGGGAACACTGAGAGCTGAGACTTAAATTCAGCAATATAACATCAAGTTGGTACCTACAGATGCTATGAACTTGATATGTTTTTTTCCCTTCATCTGTTAAACTAATTTTCAAACTTATACAGAGTCGCTATGGGTCGGAACCGACTCGATGGCACTTAACAACAAATACACACACACACATACACACACACACACACATATATATAAATGTTTTATTGTGAATTTTATGATAGTTTACATGGGAAAACATTAGCTTTACATTCATCCTATCGTATATCATTTCATTGCCATGGTTACAATCCCCTCTATGCATCATCAATCAACCAAAGGTTATACCCTGCAAGCCTGCCCCCCAGTCATCAGCACACAGCCCCTCTCCCTCTCTGGGTCTAAAGCCCCAGCCACTCCGTCTCTCCACGTCACCATCTCTGGCGTCACTGCTTCTCTGGGTAGGGTCCTGCGAACTTGTATTTTGCCTAGTACCTTGAGCTTCAACTCCCCCTGAAAACAGTGTACAGCAATACTTGACATTTTGTCCGTGAGTAGAGAGCAGGAAAGATGATTTGGCCCACGATCATAGATAAATTCATTTAAAAAAATCCATGTGGTAATAACGGAATTCAACTGCACCGATAAAATATGATGCAAATTTAATAAAGACAAATTGAGGACTTGGCCTAGGTTTGATGCTTGACAACTTTCAAATATCTGACTTTCAAATATTTTCTTCCGTTCTGTGAGCTGTCCTTATATTTTCTTGACAGTGTCTTTTGAAACACAAACATTTTTAGTTTTGAGGTATTTGCATTTTTGGTACCACACGTAAGTCACCAAGATTTACACCTATGTTTTTCCTACAAGTTTCATGGTTCTTTATCCATTTGGAGTTGTTTTTCATTTCATCTACTTGGAGTTCTCTTTCATTTCAGGTGGGGGTTCAGGCCTGACTCCTTTCTTAGCATCATTTGTTGATGAGACGACTATTTTTCTCCAACTGAATGGTTTTGGTGCTTGGGTTGAAAATCGTTAGATCATATATGTTGTTGTTGTGGTTAATGTTGTTGAGTTGGTTCCAATCCACATTAATCCTGTATAGGAGTTCTGAAGAGGAGCTGGTGGGTTTGAACTGCCAATCTTGTGATTCACAGTCCAGTACTGATCCTACAATGCCACACCAGGAGTCCCTTGATCATACATATATTGTTGTTGTTGTTAAGTGCCATCAAGTCGATCCCAACCCATAGCGACCTTGTATAGGGTTTTCCAAGGAGCAGCTGGTGAGTTTGAACCACTGACACTGCAGTTCAAACAACTTTGCCGTCTGATCCATTAGCCCACAGCGACACACCAGAACTCCAAAAATTGCTTTATATTACACTGGTGGTGGTTACATGCTGTGGAGTCAGTTCTGACTCATAGCGACCCTGTACAGGGTTTCCGAAGCTGTAAATCTTTTCAGGAGCAGAAAGCCTCAACTTTCTCCCATGGAACAGCTGGTAGTTTCCAACTGCTGACCTTGTGGTTCGCAGCCCAATTCATAACCAATTCGCTACCAGAGGTCCTTCATATATATATGTGTATATACACACACACACAGACAGAGTCCTGGTGTGACGCTGTGAGTTAATGCGCCAGACTGCAAAGCCATTTGAACTGCAAGAGTGGTGGTTCAAGTTCACCAGCTGCTCTTCAGAAACCCTATACAGGGCTGTGGGTCGGAACCGACTCAATGGCACTTAGCAACAACAATACACACACACAAACAGGTTTATTTCTGGGCTCTCAGATCTATTCCACTGACCTACATGTCTGCACTTATACCAATAACACAGGTTGGATCACTGTAGCTTGGCAGTAAACTTTCAAATAAGAAAGTGTGAGTCCTCCAAGTTCACTATTGTTGTTTGAGCTTGCTTGCTAATCTGGGCCCCTTAGATTGCCTTAGGAAATTTAGGACCACTTTGTCAACTGTTTCAAATAAGTTAGCTGGAATCCTGACAGCGAATGAGTTGAATCTAAATCATTTTGTTGAGTAGTGCCATCCTAACAAGATTCAAGTCTTCCAATCCATGAATATACAATGTTTTTACATGGCCTTCATTTGAAAAAAGGTTGTTTTTACTTCAATTTACTCCCTAAGCAGCAAGCCAGGAGCATTTTTAAGACACCAAGTTGGTGGACATGCCTTTCAATGACCTCTTCAAACCAAGAATCCAAGAAAGAATTGTAGTCTTTGGTTTCCCAGTTAAATAGATGTCAGCCAGAATGACAAAATAAAGGAAAGCTAAATGCTGAAATTGATAGAAGAACCTTTATTCATCTCTCCACTGTATAAATTAAACTTCCAAATTTTTTAGACAAAAAACAATCTGCAAAATTTACACAGAATTTTTCCAGAGCACACACTGACAGATGATACCCAGAGTAATCATTAAGAAATTTTTTCAGCATAACATTCTGACAAGATGAATCACAATAGATTCACTAGGGGGCAGCAGACACAACCTGAATGAGATGGAGTCACAAAGGTGGATGCTGTCAGATCAGTCTCAGAGTCCAGTTCAACTTCAGAATTTGAAACAAGTAAAGGAACATCAGAGGAAATCTCCA